GCAACTGGGAGGGTCCCGGTGGGATACAGCCAGCCCCGCGGTGGTCACCAGCCACGGCACACGGGGTGATCCCTGTCACCCCCAGCTCGGCACTGGGGCTGTGGTTACTCACCGGCGGCCCTCGCTGTCCTGTCTGCCCAGCCTGACCGGCCTTGCCCTGCGGGGAAAAGGGAGGTGGTGAGGAGAGCAGCGCGTGGGGCAGCCCCCCACTCACCCATGGTCCCCCCACATGGCCCATGAGGGGACAGAGTGCACCCAAGCACATTTGCGGGAGGGCGCACATGGGAACAGAGAGGGCCACGGCACTGGGTCCCTTCCCCAGCTCGGAGCTCAGTCCGGCCCCTCTCTGGCTCGCAGCGGGGGCGGCAGAGCAGGATATGGGGGATGGAGAACGGCCCGGAGGGATGGGACAGGGTGACACAGCGGGACAGGGCTGACTCACCCTCTTGCCTTTCTCTCCTGCCAGCCCCATGGGACCCTGGAAGCCAGTGGAGCCCTAAGAAGAGAGAAAATAAGTGATAACCCAGGGCTGATGAGGCACCTGGGGTCCTGGGGACACCCCAAAAGCTGCCCTGTGCTCACCTTGGGGCCCTGGCGCCCGGGATAGCCCGGGAGACCCGGCACTCCCAGCTTGCCCTGCAAGGGAGAGAGCAGAGATGAGCCGCAGGCTACAAGGGACACGGGGACGGGGACACAGGGACACAGGACTCCCCTCACCTTCTCGCCTGCGGGGCCAGGAGCACCCGGTTCCCCCATGAGACCCGTCTGCCCCTTCAGCCCCTCGGGGCCGTCCTCGCCGCGGGGGCCCAGAAGACCCTGGTCACCCTGAAACGGTAACGCAGAGGTGCGGGGAGCATGCTGCCAGGGGGGACAGGGCTGCTCCTTCGGGGGGACAGGGCTGTTCCTTCGGGTCCCCAGCTGTCCCCACAGAGCTGTGTCCCCCCCGCCAAGCTCCATCCCCCCCAACACCACCCCCAATCCTGCAGCCAGCCAGCAAAAACCCATGGGGTTTTGTGGCACCCGCAGCCACCCCACACAGCCCTGATGAGGAGACCCCCACCTCGGGACCCCACTTACCCTGTCGCCCTTGGGGCCCATGTCCCCCTTAAAGCCGGGGAATCCGTCTTCTCCCTGAAAAAGAGGCACATTTTGGGGGGACCGAGACTGCGTTAGCTCCGGTGCAAGCCCCGGATGGGGGCATGGTGTGGGGCTGAACCCCAAATCCCAACACAGAGGGGTTACCCACAGCTGCAACCCCGGTGTCCCCCCACCCGCAGCTATCTCAAGGCAAGGACGAGTGCCCCCCAACACCAGGGACCCACAGATGCCACAGGACAAGGACACCCCCCTCTACTGTTCCTTGTCCCGCTCTTACCTTCTCTCCTTTGCTGCCCTTCAGGCCCCGCACCCCAAAAGCTCCCTGCAGAGACACAGAGGGGTGGGAGGGGAGATCCCAGCCTGGGGGACACCGCCTGACCCCCCTCTCGGTGTTGTGCCTCCTCGGAGTGCGGCAGAGGAGGAGGCTGTGCTTACCTTCACCCCACGGGGTCCTGGATAGCCGACGGGACCGGGGGCACCCACAGGGCCCTTGAGGACAGAGAGAGAGTCAGCAAAAACGGGACACCCCCCCTTGGAAAATGGACCCTTTTCCCCCACTCAGGGTATGAGGAGGGGGGAAACAGCCCCTTACCTGGAGGCCCTTCTCTCCGGCTGGCCCTTCTCGGCCGGGGTGACCCTGCGGGGACACGCACGAGGTGAGCCCCAAGCTGGGACAGTGACGCTGCCCTGTGGTCCCCTCTCCCCCCCTTCTCTCCGGCTGGCCCTTCTCGGCCGGGGTGACCCTGCGGGGACACGCACGAGGTGAGCCCCAAGCTGGGACAGTGACGCTGCCCTGTGGTCCCCGCTCCGCCGGGGACCCCCCAGCCCCTCGCCGGTACTCACCGGGGGTCCGTCAGCCCCAGCCACACCTTGTATTCCCGGCTTCCCCGGCGGACCCTGGGCGAGAAGAGGACATGTGGGGACACAGAGGGACTGGGGGACACCCCTACAGCTCCCCAGCACCAGCTGAGGTCAGCTCTGGAACTCCCCCCACCCACACTGGGTCCTGCCTCACCTTCTCCCCTGGCAGCCCGACAGGACCCTGGGGGCCAGGAAGACCCTGCGAGAGAACACATCAGGGCGCTGGGAAGGGACTGAGGGAGCAGCTGAGCCCCCAAGCCCCACAGGGACACCCCCAGCTCCATGGGGACACCCCCATCACCTCCACGTACCTGCGGACCTGGGTTCCCTTGCTGTCCCGGCGGTCCCGGCTCCCCGTGGATTCCCTGGGGGGGGCAGAGAAAGTCCATTAGTGCAGCACAAAGGACCCCGGGACGTGCCACCCCGACCCTCGCTGCACCCACGCACCCCACAAGAGCACGAGGCAGCTCTCGCCCCGGCCCTGCCTCCCCCTCCCTGGAGCATCCCAGTCTCTCGCTGGCTAATTCGGGCTGGGTGCTCCGCTGACACCCACCACGTTGCCTTTGGGCCCCGGTGCTCCATCGATGCCGCTGGCACCCTGCGGAAGAAGGAGGGAGGGTCAAGGTGATGATGCGCCCCAAGGTGACGCCGTGCCAAGGACGATGCCGTGCCCAGGCTGGACGGGTGACAGAGAAAAATACTCTTGTCCCAAGGTGGGGACAGATGGACAGACAGACAGGCAAAAGCGGTGTCTCATACCGGTGGTCCAGGGGGCCCGGGGGAGCCACGTGAGCCGATCAGGCCTCGCATACCCTAGGGCCAAGGACAGAGGGGTCAGCGAGGGCTTGGATGGCAGCACCGACCCCAGCACCCCGTGTTCCCTAGGGTGGGGGAGTCCAGTGCCCAAATCTCTCCTCCAAAAAGCCACAGGGAGAAAGCTGGAGGCCAAGCTTGCCCCCCACTGCTCCTGGGGCTGGGGGAGAAGCCGGGCCAGGCTCCCAGTGCCGGCAGCAGGTACTTACGGGTTCCCCAGGCTGCCCCCGAGGTCCCGGGAGACCGTCCGGGCCCTGGAAAGGACAGAGCGGAGCTGAGCACGTCCCTCCAACATCAGCAGGACCTGATCCTTCCCCATCCCGCCCCACGCTCCTCACCTTGGCACCTTTCTCCCCGGGGGGGCCCGCTGGTCCTGGCTTCCCCACTTCCCCCTGCAGAAGAGAGAGGGTGAGGCGGCATGGGGACAGCGGTGGCAGGAGGGGACACGGTACGGTCTCACTTACCCTGTGGCCCTTCTCACCCGGCAGCCCTGGCAGCCCATCGAAGCCCCTGTCACCCTGTGGGGTAGGACAAGTGTCAGGCTGAGCCCATGTGTCCCCCCCCCCTTGCTGCACCAGGACCTGCGTGCCCCGGTCCCCCCACCCCACTGCCAGCACCCCCAGCAGCACCGATACCACCCCACGCACGAGACCTTGGGTCCGGTTTCCCCCGGGAGACCCCTGGCACCGTCCGCTCCAGCGCGACCCTGCAAGACAAGTCAAAGGGGTGGGGGCTTGGAGTCCCTCGGGATGGAAAAGGGGCACCTTGGCACGTGACAGCGGACCAGGACATTTGGGGGAGGCAAAACCCAAACTCCTCAGCGCTTACCCGGCGGCCCAGCTTCCCCGGCGGCCCCGGTGGTCCCTGCATTCCCCGGGGACCCTGACGGAGAAGAGGGGAAGGCGTCAGGGCCGCGTTTGCCTGCAGCCCGCCAGGGAGACCCCACACAACCCAGCCCAGCAAGACTCACCCGTGGCCCCATGTCCCCCGCATCTCCTTTCAGGCCCGGGTGTCCAGGTAGACCCTACAAAAACAAGAGAGCGTGGAGACGCACTCATGAGGGTTTGCTCCACGCGGAGATGTGCCCGACAAGGTGCGTTTCAGTGGGGCGGGCACCCCGCAGCAGTCCCCACACCGGCCGTACTCACCAGTGGTCCTGGGCGACCAGTCAGCCCCATGGGACCTGGGGGACCCTTCATGGCAAGCTGGTGAGAGAAGGGAGGAGAGGGGTGAGGGAGAGCGGGGAGGTTGGGCAGGGGGCTCCCTGCGGGGGTCCTTACCTTCGCCTGCTGTAGGATCGCTTGGGCTTGGGCTTCTTGGAAAGAGACGGTGGGACCCTTGAGGGAGTCTCCGCCGAACTGGAACTGGATGGGGGGGAAGGAGGAGGGTGAGGGATAGGGGGAGCTACTGGCTCCCAGCCCTGGGGACAGTCAGCTCTGTGTCACCTAGAAAGCTGTCCCCTGCCAAACTCCGTGGGGAGCAGGGGGGAGGGTCCCCGAGGGTCCTATCCCGTCCCAGCTCTTACCGGCAACATGATCATGGTCCCCGCCGGGCCACGGATCCCGTCAGCTCCCGGCAGCCCCGGCCGTCCTGCGGGACCCTGGTGGAGAGAAGAAAGGGGGAATAAGCCGTCATCGCGCCGGCAGAAGCCAGCCTGTCAGGTCAGGGCTTGCAGCTCCATCACCCCGCGTGCACGCCGGCATGCACCAGCAGGACCGCCGCGACGCCTGCGGCCCCAACCCTGCCGCGGGGGCAGCTCCGGCCCCATCACAGCCCTCCCCGTCTGCTCCGTACCTGATCTCCGGGGTCCCCGGGCAGCCCTGGGAGCCCCGGTGGTCCCAGGGGACCTGTTTCCCCCTGCGGAGAACACAGAGGCGTGTTAACGCTTTGTCATCTCCAACCCCTCCCCAGAGCAGCCCCTCGCTTCTCACCGCAGGTCCTGGGGGTCCCGGCGGCCCCTCGAATCGCCGACCCTAAAGAAAAGAGCGAGCCCCGTCCCGCAAAGCGTCTCAGATGGGTGGCCCTAGGGTGCCACAGAGGGCCAAGGGCCACACGTCCCCAGGGGAGCCGTGCCCTACTCACCAGCTCCACGATGGCTGGCTCGCCCTTCTCCCCCTTCAAGCTGAGCTCCTGAAAAATTCCGGGGTGAGGAGAAACGGCGGAGAGCTGGGTTGGGGTGAAGGGCTCCAAACGGGCTACATGGCCCCTGGCCCCGGTACCGTAGCCCCAGCTCGGCCAGCCATAGTTGGGGGTGTCCCCAGTCCTTGTCCCCAGCGTTACCTGCGGAGCCTGGATGACCACCTCCTCCCGCTCAGCGGGGCCAAACCGCTCCTGGCTTGCAGGGTCCCCGTCGTAGTAGTCCTCGTAGCCCGGTACCTCCGTGCTGTCAGCCCCAGCGACTCCGTCCTCCTCAAGTTCAAGCACGAGCTCCTCACCGGTGTCCTAAGGGACGAGGAGATGCTGGGGGTGCAAAGAGGTTGGGGGGGGGATCTTCCCTGCCCGCCCCAGCCCCCAGCCCTGGTGCTACCTCGAAGGGGTCGGTGCCGTTCACGGTGACGCTCACGGTAGTGGCGAGGCCGGAGGGGACGGGCGTTGGGGAGCTCTCATCCGCAGACGGTGTCGGCGTGCTGGCCTTGGACGATGCGGAAAGGGCGCAGGGTGAGGAGGGGAGCGCTGCGGCAGAGGGAGGCGCTGGCCCATGACCCTTGTGGGGTCCCGCAGGCCGGCAGGGCCAGGGGATGCCCCTCTTTCATCTGGGTCCACCTCAGGCCACGCACACCCGGAGCCACGCTGCTTTTAAGCCAGATTTGGGTGCTGCCCGTCCCGTCACAGCGTGAGGAGCCGAGCTGCGGCATGGCGCTAGCTGGCGGGTGCTGGCGAGCTGCGAAGCCGGCACGCCGCAGCCAAGCGCAAGCAGCAGGTTAGCGGAACTGGGTTAACCGGGGTGGGTTAAGCAGCTGCAGAGGCGGGTTAGTCACGCTTTCTACCTGGCTGGCCACGATGGAGGGCACAGAGGCCTCGTGATGCTCCAGCAGCTCCTTGTTCCTCCTCTTCTTGCCCTTCCCCTTGCGTTTCCCTTTCCCCTTTCCCTTCTTCCCCTTCCTACGTGGGGCGGCTGTAGGCTCCAGGCCGCTCTGCAAGGGGCAGCGCAGACGCCGGCAGGGAAAGAAACGTGGGTGTCAGGAGCCCTGGCAGCACCCCTCCACCGTGACACCAAGCCTGGCACCCGGGACACACTCCTGTGGTCCCCGCTCTGCCGTGGAGACGGCTGAGCCCCAGGTGCCAGCGGGATCGGCATCCTCGTAGGGATGCACCGGCTGCCCGGGCTCCCCCAAATCCCGGGGAGGAGCTATTCTGGCCAGAGCCCTGCAGTCACGTCCAACAGACCCAAAGGTCCGGCTCCACGGGGGCCAGAGTGGCTGGAGCTGGCCCGCTTTGGCTCAGACTGTGCAAAAATGAGGTTGGGAGTCGCTTTGAATGCAAAAGGCCACGTGTGGCATGGCACAAGCTTCGTGCACAGGCACCGCCAGCTCTGGGACGCATCTGGGTCCACCTCAGGCCACGCACACCCGGAGCCACGCTGCTTTTAAGCCAGATTTGGGTGCTGCCCGTCCCGTCACAGCGTGAGGAGCCGAGCTGCGGCATGGCGCTAGCTGGCGGGGGCTGGCGGGCGGCGAAGGCGGCACGCCGCAGCCAAGCGCAAGCAGCAGGTTAGCGGAACTGGGTTAACCGGGGTGGGTTAAGCAGCTGCAGAGGCGGGGGGGTCCCCCCTTCTCCCCAGGTGGGCCCC